TCGTCGCCGGCGATCACGTCGACTCCCTTCGCAAGTCCTTTGTTGGCCAACTCCTTGACCGAGTCGTAGTTGGCGTGCGCAAGCCGATTATGCCACGCCTTGAGAGTCGCCTTGGAGCCTTGCGCCACGTTGGATGAAGCCGCTCTCGGGTACGTCTTGAGTTGGTAGATATCTCCGTTGAGAACACCTTGCGCGAATTGCTCCCCCTTCCAAAAGAGGTTCATTTTCGCACCGTCGATCGTGGCGATCACTCCCTTCTTCGCAAGTTGCGGGACGGATAGAAGGTTCACCTTCACCCCCGGGACGTGAAACACGTTCGTCACGTCCACCGGACCGCTATCGACGATGAGGCGCGTACTCCCAACTCCGACCACTGGTAGCGATTCATTGTTTCCGAACACGATGCTCGTTACGTCTCCCGGAGCGCCAATGTTGTTGAGGAGCGACGCCGAGTGCGTCATGTGTTGCGTTGCGCCGGTATCGAGGAACCACGCGTCGCTTGGAGTTTTGTTCCCGTTGCCGGCCACTAACACGAGCGACTCCTTTGAATCATCGGCCTCGCCGGATGCCGTGTGCGCGTTGCCCTCTTGGTCCCGCGCCATCGATGGAGTCCAATCGCTCGGCCGCTTTCGACACTCACGCCAAAAGTGTCCCGGTTTGCGGCAATAGTGACACTTGCCGCGATGCTCGCTCCCACCGGACGATTCCTTCGTTGCGTCCTTGCTCCACTTGGACTTCTTTCCGGAACTCCCTCCGGAGTACATGGCGGCACCCTCGCTCTCATTAGCGAATTGTCGGCGACGCGATTCTTCATGGAGAAGCCGACCAACCACCATTTCCTTCGTCCAAGTGTCTTGCACGCTATCGAGTGTCGTAATCACCGTCGACCACTCTTCCGGAAGGCCGCAAAGCAAGGTGAGAATCCAATCCTCCTCCGTGACCGTTCCACCGAGGTCCATGAACGTTTCCCCGAGTTCCTCCACACGAGTCGCAAACTCGTGCATCGATTCGCCCGCGCGCATCTTCACCGTGTAGAACGCATTCCGGGCTAGGATCTTGCCGTGGAGAGTCTTGTTCACGTGGATGGTCTCGAGCCGCTTCCACGCTTCATGCGCCGACGCTTCGAGCTTGATGCACATGCGCACCGAGCTCACGAGATTGATGCCGATGCGCGAAATCAACGTAGCGAACGCCTTTTGGTCCTTCTTCTTCCATGCCGCGATGCCGCTCTCATCGTCCGGCTTCTTCTCCGTTCCATCGAAGAAACCCCAAAGTCCCCGCTCCATCATGAGCACTTGGAACTTAAACTTCCACGCGGAGTAGTTTTGTCCCGTGAAAATCGGTACCGCCGACGTGTCGAACATCGTCGCGGTTGCCCAGGGTTCGCCGGAATTTACAACGACACCATCCAAGGAAGTGGGGGAGGCCTCGCTTGAAGTCATCATGCGTGCTCCTTGTCGCGCTCGTAGACTCCTCCGACCAGCTCTGATATCACAGCTTTCCAACGAGCCGTCAAACACGTCGATCGCCTAAGTATTCTCCGAGATATAGGCGTTCACGTGCTAGGTGGTGCTCTTGAATGCAAGTAAAGAAGCTCTCTGGAATTTGTGTTCGAATGTACCTTGTACAAAGAACTCTGAGTTTCACTATGATAGCATGCAATACAAAGAAAACAAATTTATAACATACAAACAAGATCGAATCGCACAAGTAACCTCGAACCGCTACACTCGCGAATGTTCGAGTAACATCGAAAGGGTGAAATTCGACTCTCGAATTTCACCGATCCGAATTCTCCTTGGGTCTCGAATGTTCCTGGTGCTGCCATGTGGCACCGAATCGAATGGGTCTTCCGAAGTCAATCCTCAACCCCACGCAAACCTGCAACTCACTCGAAGGTGAGCACAAGTCACACATTCGGTGGGTTGGGGGCATACAAACGCCCCACCACCACCTTGCTTCCAACACACGTAATCTCCAACAAGATTTATCCCCGTATTTTCCCACCAACCTACCTGAGTACTCCCCAAGTGCTGCGCGCAACCAACCATCGCGCAAATCCTGCCGGATCAGTCCCACCGCGGCTCGATGTTCCCGTCAGCTGATCTCCGACTCGGTTATGAACACCCTTTCCATGGGGAATCCTATCGTGACGACGCGACGTGTCGCCAGGCGTTGCAACTTGACGAAAATTCTCGCCTCGAAGAAGGTTACTCCAACCAGTAGGATATGCTGCAGAACTGGCGAAAGCAAGAGGTAATGCAGCGACCAGCACAATTATGAGACACATAAACCTCGTGGAAAATCGAGTTCTGAGAGGCAAGCCGGACATCGTTATAGATTTATGCCCCGCGGAATTCGGACAATTTCATGCGCTGCAAATTCTCCGCGAATGGCGGCTGAATTCCTTCTCTGTAAAATCTGCTGCTGTTATGCTTGTTGACGTTTTGCTTCAGGGAAGTACACCTGGGCTCCGATAATTTCAAAGACGGGGCACCGGGTCGCACCTCTGTCGTTTAGCCCAGCGGTTGAAATTATGGGGAACAAAAAAGTTCCCCCTAATTTCAACCCCCCCAAGGGCAGATGTTTTGGCGCTGAGTCAGTCCCCGCTGGAACATGCCAGCGAGGACCCATGTTAAAGCCCGCGTCCCAAATTGCGGGCCGCGAGGGTCAAGTTTTTAAAACTTGACGAAGTTGAGTGTCCAAGCTTTTGAAAGTCACGCACTTGCAATTTGGGACTTTCGAAGACAGATTCACTCACCAGGGGGAAAACCGAGGGTTGGCTGGGTCTCGCGAAAAAAACGAACCTAGACGAAATCGGAAACTCTCGCCAAAGCCCACACCAGAAAAACTCCCTCTGGTCAACTTTTAAAAGCATGAACAATTTGGGCCGCCGGCTTTAAACAGTCTGAGGTGGTCCGTTCATTTAGAAGCCCGACTTCCTATCGAGCCACAAAAACATACATTACGAAAAGTGTCAAACAGTGGGTGAGTAAGTAAACTGTCTTCTGCCCAAGGCCCAAACACAAAATCATCAAATACTGAATTGTTTATACGACTACTTATTATTACCCAAAACCCCATTATCAGACTAACCGTCTCTAAATTCTAAGCTGTTCTAAATGACGAGTGGGTTTGGAAGTCGAATTTGCTCTCTGCCTGCCGTGCTCTCCTCTGGTGTTGTGTGTGTTGTACCTCAGTGGTTGTTATCGTTTTTGAGTCGGTTACGCTTGTTTCTACCCATATTCATCTCCTTCACTTGGGCCGTCCATTCTATGCCACGTAGGAATCTAGTGCGGCTGGTTTGCTTTGTGGGCCACGAAAAACCTGCCTGGGAGCCTTCTCGAATCTCTTTCACCAGCTCATTACAGCGTGGAAATGTGCAGACGCGTCAGGTCACAGGCTGTAAAGCTCTCGACTTCACTGTTGACAGCCTCCGAAGCGCTCGAGCTCCTGACCCCATGTGACGATAGGGGCCTTGCAATTATAGGGAATGAAATTATCGGAGCCCAGGTGTAGGGGGGTGTGAGAAAACATACTCGTTTTTGGACGACCTCGTAGTATTGTTGTAGAAACAACAAATACACCTGAGCGGTCTCTTGACTCTTATCGCAAGAAACTCGCACTCTGGTTTGGAGTCGCATCGCACACATATCCCCCCGACCACCCTTTCCAGAACCAATATTCCCTCCCCAGCTACAGTCGGTGCCCATTTCAAGAACACCAGGTAGGCGGGCGGCATGTGCGTGAAACGAGTTTGAGACATTTCGCCACATTCGCCCTTGTCGCCACGGGCAAAAATGTGACTGTAATATGAAATTGCAACGTGAATAGAGTTAAGGGTTTTAATTTTGTAACCAGGTTAACTTCTCTGATGACGGGCAACCGTTGTTGTTTATGAACTGTAGATGTTTTTCTTCCTCAACTTGGTGACTGTACCCTGAATCGGCACAATGGTCAATTTAGTCACTCACGGGCAAAACGTTCGCGAGTGACTAAATTTCTAATTGTGAGGAGCAAATGTTTTGTGATAGGCTGAGCATCGACTGTACCCAACCTTTTCCCCCATTCCCCATGGTCCCGCCCGCACTCATCCCTCCCCTCGCCCAGGTTTCCCGCCGCCACACTTCTGCCCAAACCAACAACGGACCGCAACAGGTTTCTTTCACCTCACGTTCAACAGTTTCGAACAGTGCGTTGGAAGAGTTCACACCTTGTTAGAACGCACTGAACCGCACTGAACGGTCAGGGTTGAACTATGGATGGAATGGAACTCCTCTCTATAGGACTGTAGCACTGTTATGTTGGCTTGACCAACTTAGTTGGCTAGCAATAAGTTTTTTGATCTGTACTTTGTTCGTAATCCTTCTCTCGCCGGAATCTTGCGTAAGTTTTGCAGGCTTCTTGCCGTAAGTAACTCTAGCCTTCACGACGTACGTCTAGGTTTACCTCCCGAGATGCCGTCCAGGTCGCCGTCTCCGCGCAGGCGGAGCCGCAGCCGCAGCCCTATCCGCAGTCCCGTCAAGCGGCGAAGCCCTAGTCGCAGCCCGGTGCGGGGACGCAGCCGGAGCCCGATTCGCCGGCGCAGCCGAAGCCCCGTCAGGAGTCCCGTTAGAAGCAGAAGTCGCAGTCCTTATAGGCGTCGGTCCAGGAGTCCTATAAGGGGGCGGAGCCGGAGTCCGCCGTTCAGACGCGCGAGCCCCCGGATGCGAAGCCCTCGGCCAAGGAGTCCAGAACCAGAGTACGCCGCATAGGGACATCCTCGCATTCGTTATTATCACGGTCACACGTCGCCTTCTTTTCTCCGTTCGTTACAACCTCGTTGACTGTCGCAGCCTTTTTGCAAATTCTAGTTTACGAGCAATCTTCGCCTTGAGAAACCTTCGGATTTGCCTATTCTTATTGTATTTTGATACATTTTCTCCTTCATTTCGTACCTGTTTGTTTTCAGCGACGAGTCGAGGAACCCTGGAAACAACCTCTACGTGACCGGCCTATCGATGCGGACGGCAGAGGCGGAGCTGGAGAAGCATTTCTCCAAGGAAGGCAAGGTATTACCCATGCTTGATGCAAGCTTGCCTTCTAATATTTTACTTGTATCTTCGACTTATGACCGTTTTTTTTTGCCATTTCTCTCCCTTTTCACCTGACTTACGTGACAGTATCTTCATTTTGTTACGCTCACCTCTTGATTTCCGACTTCCAACCTCGCTTCTTGGAATATTGACAACCTAAGCTCTTCTTTCGTTATTGTTATTATTGTTTTTCTCTTTCTTTCCACGTGTTCCGCCTTTCGCAGGTAGCGGAGTGCAGGCTCGTGCTGGACCCGCACACCAGGGAGTCGCGCGGCTTACGACCAATTCTCTGCCGTTTCCCTCCGTTTTCACCTGACTTCCGCAGGTTGCGGAGTGCAGGCTCGTGCTGGATCCGCGCACCAAGGAGTCGCGCGGCTTCGCATTCGTCACCATGGAGAACGTCGACGACGCGCGGCGATGCCTCAAGTACCTCGACCGCTCCATCCTCGAGGGTCGCGTCATCACCGTCGCGCTCGTACGTTCGTCGCCGATTTCCGAAACTCTGTTCATATTCCCGTTTTTCGCCACCCCTGTGTGTTCTTTCTATGGTTGAATACCGCTGCTGGTTTTACTGAACGTCTGAGTGCTGGTTCACGTTTTTTGCCAGTTGTCTGTGAGGTTGACGCTTCTCGTCCTCCCTCTCTCCTCTCTCTACCATCTCCGCTCTCTCCCGTCTGCCTACCCAGCGTGGGTTAGACCAATTCTGCTCCGCCACGCATCCCCTATTCGTCTCCCACAATCAAAGCCCCTTCGCGGCCTCGACATTAGCGGCCTCGAATCTAGCCGCATCGACATAGCGCCAACCAATCTTGAAACACTTGCAATCTATACGCTACGCCAACCAACCCCAATAATTGTTCCTGCACCAACGAACGCGATTGGCATGCACCACACCAACACTGCAAGCGGCCAATACTGCTGCACTGCAAGCATTCCCCATTTCGGCGTCAATTTCTTCTGCTTCGATTTAAGATTCTGCCTCGATTTCGCGCTGATCGAGTCTGCTCGGCGTCGAGCGATCGATGTAGCGGCTGCATATCACATTCTGCTTCAACCCCAGCCCCAATACTTATTGTTCGCCTCCCCAACAGCATCTTCGACTCCGATTCAAGCTTTGCGCTACTGGTGGTGTTATTGCTTCATCTCTCCCCCTTTCCCTATAGCATCGCTACTGGTGGTGTTATTTGAGTCTCTGTGTCCGGTTTCCTTCCCTTTAAATGTCTGCAGTCCATTTTGCATTGCAAATCAGTGTTGGTTAATTAGAGTAAGTATCCATATGCCCCAAGTGGGATTAGTAGTGGGTGTTTCAAACACATCTTTGTCATTCCCCGAGTTTCCAACAGGCAAAGAGGAAGCGGGCCCGAACCCCGACTCCTGGCAAGTTCTTGGGCACTCGTAGCCTGAAGGAGTCTGTTGTGGTTGGCGGCGGTGAGTTCAGGCTCTTGTTAATGATTGGTTTGTGAAGTGAAAATATCTGTCTTGCCTCTTGTTCTTCTTTCCTTTCTTTCGTCCTTGCCTTTATGCCTTTCTTTCTTTCTTTTCTTTTTAGTATGGCTCAAATGTTCGCAAGTAATTTGTCTTGCTGGCCAATTCTGCTTGCCATTCTGTTTACTTGTCTTGACAGACCGCAATTATGGTGGTGACAGGGAGTTCAATCCTCGCCGATCATCACCAGACTACCAGCCCTACCGCCGAGACAGATCACCGGATTACGGCCCCTATCGTGGAGCAGGTTACAGGTACGGTAACATAACTTCAGCATGTGTTACAATTTTGCCCGCAATCTTTGCTGGAAGCTGTAGGTTTAGTATCTTTTGGCAGAATTGTGGCTTGCATTTTTCACATGTTGAACCTATGGGACATGATGGGACCGTGTTCTTACCCACCAGCCCCAAACTCCTGCTTCCTCTTTGTTCTCCAGGTAAAATATATCGTGTCCAAGATGTAGTGAGGACAACTGACAGACTAGTTTGCTTCTACTGTATGCTCATTGACTCGGCTGTAATTCATATTGTGATTTTGCTGAATAGGGTGGTTCACATGTACTGGCTTGCATTGCGTGTACCTTGATTGTTTTAGACTCAAGAGAAACTTCAGGACATGACAGGCAATTTCTCCAATCGCGAATCCGTACTATTGCAGTCAGTCTGATGATGTGCGACTTCTGTCAGTTCGCCACCCAATCACGGCGCAGCCGAATGCCTTGTTTCTTGGCGGGAAAAGCGGCATACTTGAGTTCAGCACTATTCAGTTCGAACAAACCAGAATCTAGGAAATAGCAAGATTAGCAGACGGCACACCACCAGTAACAGTGAGCTCCTGTATTAGTCCGAAAGTACCCAGGAAACCAAGGACGCTTCAGTTCTACTGTCGCTGACGCACTACGGTTGTTAAGTTCAGATATTACTAACTTAGCTAACCGCGTGTACCCTCCCGCGAATTTTGCTTTCTTTCTTTCTTTTGTTAGGCCTCCGTTTCCCACCGTTTTCCACTTGTGGGCTCGCTTCATAAAGCATCGCATCTGCGTATTTAGAATAATGGTTCGTCGGAAGCCTTTTCGAAATGCGATTCCGGATGTCGCGGTAGCTCTGTTCGTCGCGTGTCTAGCCGCTGCTGTCTCCCACGTGGATGCGATATCCAGTGACGCGCAAGACGAAGAGAGGCTCATAGGATGGAAGGGGGAAAGGTGGGTGTAGCTGTTGCTGACGTGTATATTGCTATTGGGATGATCAAGATTGCCTCTGGTAGGCTGTCGCGTCTCCCTTTCTGCAGGCTTATCCCGTCGACTCCTTTTGCCTTTTCACCAGTTAGCTTTGATTCAAGTGGTAATGTCGATCCATTTCAGCAGCAATTAATAGAACTCAATTCATTTCATGGATAGGACTCACCTCGTCTCCACATTTGTATCCGTTTGCAATGCTTTCCATCCCTCTGTATCTCCTCGTGTCGTTCGTGCTGTTAGCGTTTCGCCAAGCTGCCTCAACTCAACCAGTGAATCCAATCCATCTCAGCAGCAATGGATATACCTCATCTCATAAGAGCCCGGAATTTCTTTCACAACCGTATTCAATTGCACCGCTTCCTATCCCTCCGCTCGTGTCCATAAAGCACTTAGCGTTCCTCCAAGCAGGTTAAACTCAGCCAGTGAAGACGATCCATCTCAGCTCATCTCGTGGGAGCCCAGGGCCTTCTTCTTCATCACTTTGCACCTCTTTGTATTCCTTCGCATCCATCTTCATACCTTAGCATCCATTTGTGCCCCTTACGTGTCCCCAAACAGCTACAGCTCATCCAGTGAAGACGATCCATCCCAGCGCCAATGGATAGAGCTCATCTCGTGGGAGCCCAGGGCCTTCCTCTTCATCACTTTGTATGAACTTGCGTCCATTTGTGCCCCTTTTGTTCCCCTATGCAGTTTCAACTCAACCAGGGAAGATGATCCATCCCAACGACAATGGATAGAGCTCATTTCGTGGGAGCCCAGTTGTCATATGTATCCGTTTGCACCGCTTTCTATCAACTTGTATCCCCTCTTGTCCCTTTGTTCTCCATGCGTCCCTCAGCTTCAACTCAACCAGGGAGGACGATCCATCCCAGCGACAATGGATAGAGCTCATCTCGTGGGAGCCCCGGGCCTTCCTATTCCACAATTTCCTGGTAGGTTTATTTAAAAGTTCTTTTTGTATCGGTATCAGTGTCTTTCAAACCCGCCCTGGGCCTTCCTCTTCCACAATTTCCTAATAGGTTTATTTAAGAGTTCTTTTTGTATCGGTATCAGTGTCTTTCAAACCCGCCCTGGGCCTTCCACTTCCACAATTTCCTGGTAGGTTTGTTTAAGAGTCCCGTTTTGTATATGTTTTTTGTGTCACCTTCAAAACGGCCTAGGGCCTTTTCCTTGTAGGCTGTTGTATCAATTGTTCTTTGTAACAACATTTTAGGTGTCTCAATCATGAAGTGAGACGACAATACCCAATGATTTAATTGAGCTCATCTCATGGGAACCTAGGTCCTTTTACTGTTCCTTCCCATCCACCACACTTGTTACAGACCACCAAGGAGTGCTTGTAACGGATTCACAAGCCAGCTTCCAAATGGTCAAATCAACTGTCAGTCATTCCTCTCCATGTCAATCCTTTCCCGTTCATTCTCATCCGTACCCATCCGTACCACCACAGACTGCCAAGGAGTGCCTGTATCTGATTCACAAAGCAGCGCCCAACATGGTCAAGTCAACTGTAGTGGACAGCGACTCAGGCGGCTCCTACAGCAGCAAGTGAGTCTTCTTGTAAGTTAGTAACGAGTACGGGCAGGGATCAGTCTTGTGAAATTGGTGCTGCGAATGGAGATAACAAGAAAACGTGACTTTGTTAACCCATGGAGCGCTGTCAGGATTTAAACGTCGAGCTTCTCAACAATGAACATTTGTATGCTTCTTTCTTTATCCCTGTTCAAGTTAAGCGAACTCTACAGTGTTATGTACCACTGTATTTGTCAATATGTATCTGCAGTTGCGCTGGTGGTGTCTGTCGTGGAAGGATCCGGACGAGCTCGAAATCGTTTCTTTTGCGGTAATCAGACGAGATGGTGACTCACATAGAGACAGGAACAGGTGGTCTTACTCGTTTGTGTCTGTGAGTGCAATGCTTGTTTGTTGTGCCAGGATCCGGACAAGCTCAGGGTCGTTTCTGTCACGGGGATCGGACGAGGTGGTGGCTTCGATAGAGAAGAGAATATCCGACTTCTCGCACCTGCCTGTGGGTGAGTAGCTGGCTAGGTGGATGTCACATTTGCATGAATGTGAAGGGTAAGGTAATGAGGAAAAGGGGTTTGTATATACTGTAGATACTGTACATAGCGGAGTGGAGTCCAACGAGTACGGAAGCCGAGGAGACATACGACGTTTCACAAGCGGATGGGAAGCTGGGGGAGCCGACGTTTGCCGAACCAGAGGGTCGGAGGGTTGCATGGATGAGCAGGGAGCTGGAACTTACGTAAGCGGAGTGGGGTGGGCTGCAAAGGCAGAGGCACACATGGCAGCGGCAGCAGGAAGCAGCAGCACAGGATGGGAGGGATGGGTGTACGTGTGCATGCTTGTTTGTTTTCGCTATGTGTGCAGGATAGGTTCGGGAAGCCAGCTGGATCAGGAAGTAACAGCTGGAGGACGAGGAGACAGGGCAAGGAAGGATGGCAAGAGGCATTACGGCTGTAAGCCTGTGTGAAGCAGCTCATGGCTGCTAGGACAGGCAAGGATTACGGGACCGTAGCATGGTGGTGGCGTTGCTGGTAGAATAGGAGGATTCCTGAACCGTCAATCCATTGCTTGTATGTTTCTTTTGTTACACGAATTCTTTGCTGTAGACCGAGCAAGTAGTGAAAAGAGGGAGATATGGCAAGCATAGAGCCGTAGTTTGAGGATAGCAGTAAGAAGTATGTGACGGAGCTCAGAGCTCATCACATACAAGCAATCTTAGGAGAGGGTATGCCCACGAGATCGGGACTAGACTTCGCCGTAAAGGAACCGATAACGGGAGGTGCGACGATGGAAGGCGATGGGAAGAATGGAGCAGCGGCTCACGGAGCTACCGGTGCGCACGGCGCGGAAGGAGGAGAGCACAGTAAGCCAGAGGGAGCCGTGGGCTCTGACGGCGCCCGCGAAGTGTCGCGCGGGACAGGCGAAGCAGCCGCAGAAGGCGGGGCGGGAAAGCCCGTTTCGGAGAAGGAGGGAGCGACTGCTGGAGGAAGGACGAGTGGTGAGCGGCAATACCGACGTAGCGCGTCCTGGCAGGGGTTCGAGGAAGAGGCGGCCACGTCACGCTGGCGTTACACCATGCTCCCGAAAGTGGAGGTGCCAGAGCGATTTTCAGGAGAAGTCCGGCGAGGGCCTTCGCTGAAGAATTACTTGATGCAGTTGGAGAACCTAAGAGCGCGGTGGGAGCGGGACCAGCTGGCACCAGAGGAGTTTTTCAGAGGATTGGCGAACACGCTGACCGGGGAGGCGGAAACCTACTACCGGATCTGCCGACGCGAACTGCTGGATTGGGCCGCGCAAGGAGGACCAAGAGAAAGGGACCCAACGAAGCGATTTCTGGAGATGCTGCGTGAGCAATTCCCACTGCAGACGCCGGAGCGAGTCATCGAGTTTCGTGCCTTCAAGCGAAGGACGGGTGAATCCTTGTTGGCATATTACGGGCGGCTGATGGAGCTGGGAGAGGACATGAATTGCACAGATCAGGGTCGGCTCGTCAGTAAATTCCTGAACGGGCTGAATTATGAGCTGCAAAGAGATGTGCAGGTGAAGATCTTTGAATTGGGGGCGGCGGCGACGTTGAAGGTCGCATACGAGACAGCAAAAAGGGTCGAAACGGGTCGGAGGTTGTTTGAGGCGGAACGCATCGAGGAACGATCGGCGGAAAGGAAGCGGCCAGCCTGGAGCGCCAGCCCAGTGGAGCACGAGCGGCCGCCGAGAGGGCCGACTGACGCACGAAAGTGCCACAACTGCGGACGAGGCGGGCATCTGCGGCGGGACTGCCGCAACCCACCAGCATGCTCTGTATGCGGCAAGGAGGATCACTTGCGGAGAGACTGTCCTGAAGCGCCCACGTGCGAGAAATGTGGAAGGAAGGGGCACGCGGAAAGAGACTGCTATGCGCGACGAGGAGAACCCAGAGAAAAGGGGGAAATGGCGGAAATGCGGGCGGAGATAGAGCGCCTGAGAGCTCAGCTGGAAGATCGGGAAAAGGGCTCTGAGAGGAGGCCAGCCATGGTGGCGAGGCAGGAGGAAGAGGAAGAAGGTAGTGAGGAGGAATTCTGCTTGATGGCGAGACCGGCAAGGGAGAGGGATGAGCTCGGATTAAGGCCAAGGGAGAGGTACCTCAGACAAAGGACAGAGGGTCAGCAGGAGTACGGGCCAAGGCGGCCAGCGGGAGAAGACAGAAGGGGAGCCGCGCCGCGGCGACATCCACTGGAACGGCTCAGCTGCGCAGCATCCGTGCTAGTGGCAGAAAAGGGGTACATCACTGTGGGGGGGCTACCGGTGAAGCAGGCCATCATCGACACAGGAGCTCATCCGGTGCTGATAGGAAGGCGACTGGCAGAGCAGCTACAGCTGGACAGGCCGGAGCGGCAGGTGGCAGAGGGACTACTGCTAATGACGGCGGAAGGAGGAGGGACGAAGTGGATGCCGAAGACGCGAGCAACTGTGGAGATCATGATCAGGCAAGGGAGTCCGGAGGAATGCGCAGTGAAACTGCAATGTGGCATCTCACCATCAGAGGATTACGATTTGCTGCTGGGAGTAGAATTCCTGTACAGCATCGGCTCGACGATCTGCATGTGGGAAGAGCGACTGACGTACCGTGTAACGTACTGGGAGTACGACGGATGCGTGGCGGAGCTGCCAGTGCGCTTCATTCGGCGGGAGCCAAGAGAGGCGTACCGAGCAGAAGTGAAAACGACAGAGGAAGAGCTGGGGCGCTTGAATTGGGAGGCTTTGGAGGAGGAGAGAAGATATCGGGACTGGCACCGCCAGCAGTGGGGAGAAAGCGGCAGCCTGAGGCAGCTGCACTTGGATGGCAGGGTATTCCAAAGGCCGATAGTGCTCTTGGAATTGTTTGGTGGGATAAGTACAGGATTAGCAGCGGCATTGAAGGCGGGGATGAGAGTGGAGAAATACATCTACGTGGACAATGAGGACGGCGCGAGTGCGATGTCGTGGCACCACATCAAGAAGCTGGACGAGAGGTACCACTCGCAGCTCTATGAAGGGGCGGTGGAGAGGGGAGCAGAATGGGTGTGTCACCGAGTAGAGGACGTCAAGGAGGAGGCACTAGCGCGCTGGGGGCACATAGATCTGGTGGTGGCCGGCTGGGAGTGCCAAATGTCCAGAGCAGGAGAAGGAAGAGGAATGAAGGACCCAAGGAGCGGGCTGTTTAGGGAGTTGATCAGGATCCTGAAGATGATCAAACGCAAGCAAGGGGAGGTGGCATACATAGTGGAGAACGTGGACACGAGAGATGACCAGCGAGAAGCAGTGAAGCAGGCCGAAGAAGAGATTCGCGGAGAATTGGGAGTAGGGGTGGCATGGGATGCGGCACAGAACGGCAGCCGGGCGCACAGACCGCGGAGATATTGGCAGAACGTGCTGCCCGAAGGTGTGCTGCAGTATGAGCTCTCACTCATGGAGCGACCAAAAGCGCGGCTGGTGGCAGATATCCTGGAACCCGCGCGGATCCCTGCACCAGTGCGCTACCCTGACCATGAGACACAGTACCCCTGCAACGAAGTCGGGAAGCCGAGGCAAGCCTGGCCCACGCTGGTGGCCTACAAGAATGCAGCAGGGTTTAAGCTGAACAACGGACAGGAGGGGCCAGGGATGGTGTTTGACCGACTGAAAGGAGTGTGGGAAGAGCCAACGGCCCTGGAAAGAGAGCTTGCCATGGGCTTCATGGCAGGTGCCACTGCAAGTCTGGAGGTGACAGAGGATCAGAGGAGGAGGGCTCTGGGAAAGGCCATGGACCTGAACGCCCTACACTGGCTGATGGCGACGATGGACAGGCACCTGGAGCGTAACAGATGGGAGCGCAGAAGAGATCATGCGGCGCGAGCAGACCCGAGGACAGAATCCGATGAAAAGAAGGAAAGAGAGGCGGCGAGATTCCTGGAACTCCTTGAGGAGGAGGCATGGGAAATGCGGAGGAAGGGAGTGCCACAGGAGAAGCGGAGGCCGAGGCTGCACGACCACTGGGGGATTCCGGGAAATTATCCCGATCAAGAAGAAGATGAGGAAGAGTGGTGGGAAAGAGAACCGGAAATGGATTGGGACTCAGAGGAGGAGGAGGACCCTACGGAGAGATGGATCCCAGACCCAGATGAGGTCTTCCTAGGACCCAGCAGGGCCTACATGGCAAGAGAGGCGGCGGAGGCAGCGGAACAGGAGCAGGAAGCTCGAGGAAAGACAGAGGAGGTGGGCGTGCAAGAAGTAACGGAATCAGCAGCAGCAGAAGAAGAAGAAGGCAACACGGACAGGATGGGGGAAGTGGTGCCTCCCGCAGCAGCAGGAACCCACTGGGACATTGGAGGAGCCATGCAGGGGATCGCCGCAATCAGGCTAGAGGCTGTGCTGCGACAGCACGCAGCGGCATTCGCGCACACGATACAAGAGCTGGGCAAATGCATGACCAGCACCATGCGCCTACCCCTGACCAGCGAAGTTCCAGTGTACCAGCGGCGGAGGAGGATGAGCCCTCAGGACATCAGCATCTGCACGGAAAAATGTCAAGAGCTGCTGGCAGCAGGCCTGATCAGGCGGTCAACATCAGACTACGCAGCAGCCACAGTCGTAGCAGCACGGACAGACTTGACAGGCACAGTCTTGTCACGACGCATGTGCGGGGACTACAGGGGGCTCAATAAGGTGACAGCAACGGACCGCTACCCAATGCCCATGGCAGAAGAGATATTCGACCAGCTGCAGGGTAGCTGGGTCTTTTCGACGCTGGATCTGAGGCAGGGCTTCAATCAAATACCCATAGCGGAGGAGGACAAAAAGAAGACAGCATTTCATGGAGCAGACGGACTCTATGAGTGGAATTTCATGCCTTTCGGCCTGCGGAATGCATCAGCAGTGTTCCAACGAGTAATGGATGGGGTGCTGAGGGAAGTAAAGGGGGCGGCATGTTATATAGACGACGTGATCGTCTTCAGCCCGGACGCAGAGACACACGTGCGGGACGTGGAGGCGACCCTGGCGGCAATTGAAGCGGCAGGCCTGACATGTCACCCGGGGAAGTGTCGCTTCGGGCACAGCAGCGTGGCATATCTGGGATTTGAGGTAGCAGGGGGGGAGCTGAGCATTCAGAAGGCCAAGGTGGAAGTGCTAGACCAAGTGGAGAGGCCGAAGGACAGAAGTAGTCTGCGGGCTCTGCTGGGCTTCCTCAACTACTATCGAAAGTTCATCGAGGACTTCAGTAAGAAAGCGGCTCCCCTAAACAAGTTGCTGCGAGAGGAGCAGAAATGGCAGTGGGAAGAGCCGCAGGAGTTGGCCTTGCGCAGCCTAATGGAAGCAGTGAAGGCAGGGGCTGTGCTGAAGCTACCCGACGGGCAGCAGCCATTCATCCTGTATACGGACTGGAGCAGCATAGGCATGGGGGCAGTACTGAGTCAAATGGATAAGGGGGTGGAGAAAGTGGTGGCCTTCGCGAGCAGGACCTGCAGTCCAGCTGAGGCCAATTACTCGTCGTACGAAGGAGAAGGGCTGGCAGCCGTCTGGGCGGTGGGACACTTTCGCGTGTACCTGCAGGGGCGGCACTTCACCTTGGTGACGGACCACCAGCCGCTGCTGTGGCTGATGCACAACCAGACGCTGACCGGAAGAAACGCGCGGTGGGCCATGAAGTTGCAAGAATACGATTTCACGGTGAAACACAGGCCAGGCAAAACGATGCAGCACGTGGATGGGCTCTCCAGGAACCCACCTCGGGGAGGCGACAGGCCAGAGCCAGAGCGGGAGCCCCCATCAGCAGCACTGACCGTCATGGTCAGTGAGCAAGGGGCAGGAGGGGAACAGCAGAAGGGTGCTGCGGATGTGTGGGAGGATGCGGAGACACTGAGGTGGATCAAGGGAGAGACAGCAGAAGATGGAGGAGCAGGGTCGAGAGCACGAGCGCGGGGGCAACACTACAGGTGGTTCCAAGATCAGGTGCAGCTGCAGACAAAGGATGGCTGGAAGAGAGTGCCGGCACCAACTGAAAGGGAGGGGATAATCCGAGAAGTGCATAACAAGCTGGGGCACTACGGGCCACTGAGGACCGTGCAATTGCTACAGACAGGCTGGTGGTGGGCGGGGATGCGTAAGGAGGTTAAGGAGTGGGTGGAGAAGTGCGAGCTATGCTGCAGGAATAAGGCGAGCCTGCTGAAGAGCCAGGCCGAGCTACAGCCCCTGGACATCGTGGAGCTGGGGTACCGTTGGTCACTAGACATTGCGGGGGAATTGCCGGTGTCGCAGAGGGGCAGGCGGTACGTGCTACTCATGATAGAGCACGTAAGCAAGTGGGCAGAGGCGCGGCCACTCGTGGCTAAGACGGCAGAGGCAGTGGCGGAGGCGTTTGAGGAGATGGTGCTGACGAGGTTCGGCGCGTGCGGAGAGGTGTTAACCGATCAGGGCACTGAGTTCCAAGGAAAATTCAAGGAGCTGCTGGCAGAGAATGGCATCCAGCACCGCACCACCTCCAGGTACCACCCGCAGAGTGATGGGCTCACGGAACGGCTGGTGCAGACAGTGAAGAAGGGGATTCGCGCGTACGGAGAAGCGAACAAGGGAGATTGGGACAAGAAGCTGGCATGGGTGATGGCGGGGTACAGGTTCAGCAAGCAGGCCTCTCTAAGAGACGTGTCACCGTACCACCTGCTCTTCGGGAAGCATCCCATACTGCCGGTGGATGCGCCAAGGCTGCTGTTGGACAGCGTGACCGCGAGGACAGCGCCACTGGCGGACGCCAGGGCCAAGTACTTGAAGAAAATGCTGCCGGCGGCAATGGAAAGCCTGAAAGTGGCGCAGCTGCGAGACATACATCGGTACAAGCAGGGGCAGCTGAGCAAAATGACCGGGAAGCAGCCAGTGGTGGAGGAGGGGCAGGCGGTGTACGTGCGGCGGGCGAAGCGAGACGGGCTGGATGTGGGAGTGGCGCAGCAACGGTGGGAGGTGAAGGAGGTAAGGGACTCGAGAGTGCTGGTGCTGGAAGATGCACAAGGGAAGCGGGTCATGGACCACGTCACCAATGTGGCGCTCGCGGGAAAACAGCAGAAGACAGGAGGCTACACCGGTCCCATGACCAGAGCGAGGACGGCAGCAGCAGGTCATGGGAGGGGGCAGAAGTAGGAACAAGTGGAGAGCAACAAGAGAGCCAGGAACAGGGGTGATAATGGATGGGGAGAAAGAGAGACACAAGATAGGGGAAGAGAGGAAGGGAAACAGGACACAGAAGAGAGAGAAGCCGCAGCAGGAAGTGAGGAGGGGAGAGGGAGGGCAGGTATCCGACAGCTGTCACATTTGCATGAATGTGAAGGGTAAGGTAATGAGGAAAAGGGGTTTGTATATACTGTAGATACTGTACATAGCGGAGTGGAGTCCAACGAGTACGGAAGCCGAGGAGACATACGACGTTTCACAAGCGGATGGGAAGCTGGGGGAGCCGACGCTTGCCGAACCAGAGGGTCGGAGGGTTGCATGGATGAGCAGGGAGCTGGAACTTACGTAAGCGGAGTGGGGTGGGCTGCAAAGGCAGAGGCACACATGGCAGCGGCAGCAGGAAGCAGCAGCACAGGATGGGAGGGATGGGTGTACGTGTGCATGCTTGTTTGTTTTCGCTATGTGTGCAGGATAGGTTCGGGAAGCCAGCTGGATCAGGAAGTAACAGCTGGAGGACGAGGAGACAGGGCAAGGAAGGATGGCAAGAGGCATTACGGCTGTAAGCCTGTGTGAAGCAGCTCATGGCTGCTAGGACAGGCAAGGATTACGGGACCGTAGCATGGTGGTGGCGTTGCTGGTAGAATAGGAGGATTCCTGAACCGTCAATCCATTGCTTGTATGTTTCTCTTGTTACACGAATTCTTTGCTGTAGACCGAGCAAGTAGTGAAAAGAGGGAGATATGGCAAGCATAGAGCCGTAGTTTGAGGATAGCAGTAAGAAGTATGTGACGGAGCTCAGAGCTCATCAGAAGTAGGAACAAGTGGAGAGCAACAAGAGAGCCAGGAACAGGGGTGATAATGGATGGGGAGAAAGAGAGACACAAGATAGGGGAAGAGAGGAAGGGAAACAGGACACAGAAGAGAGAGAAGCCGCAGCAGGAAGTGAGGAGGGGAGAGGGAGGGCAGGTATCCGACATGGAATAGAGGAGGGGGAAGGGGGAGGGGTACGGACCACACCATGCGGTGCTGCCGGGTCGTTTGGGTCGGGGGATCGGACGAGGTGGTGGCATCAATTGAGAAGAGAATATCGGACTACTCGCACCTGCCTGTGGGTGAGTCACTACCCAGCTGAGATCGTTTCGCGAGTGCTCTCAGGAGTACCAGGCGCACTTTGATTCACAACCCACCCGCCCCTCATGCCCTCCCGTTATTCCCTTCTCCTCCCTTTCACCCATCGGAGCACGGGGAGACCATCCATGTGTTGCACTCCGATCCGTCCCAGGAGTACCACGCGCACTGTGACTCACAACCCGCCCGCACCACCTCTTCCCCTCATTCCCACTCATATCATACCTCCTCTCCCTTTCCCCATCGGAGCACGGGGAGACCATCCATGTGTTGCACTCCAAGCCTTCCCAGGAGTAGAGAGGCCGGTAGGGCTTGGAGTACCAGGCTCACGTTGCGGTTGTTTATCCCTCTGTTACCCCCCCCTCCCGTCCTCTCTTCTCCCCCCACCCCACCAGACCACAGGGAGGCCATTCACGTGTTGCACTATGAAGCCTCCCAGGAGTACCTACCAGGCGCACTTTGACCCACAACCCACCTGCACCTTCTGTCTTCCCCTCCCTTCCACATCTCCTCAGACCACGGGGAGGCCATTCACGTGTTGCACTATGAAGCCTCCCAGGAGTACCTACCAGGCGCAATTTGACCCACAACCCGCCCGCCCCTCATGCGCTCCCCTATGCCCTCCCCTCCCTTTCACCCCACCAGACCACGGGGAGGCCATTCACGTGTTGCACTATGAAGCCTCCCAGGAGTACCTACCAGGCGCACTTTGACCCACAACCCACCTGCACCTTCTGTCTTCCCCTCCCTTCCACATCTCCTCAGACCACAGGGAGGCCATTCACGTGTTGCACTATGAAGCCTCCCAGGAGTACCTACCAGGCGCACTTTGACCCACAACCCACCTGCACCTTCTGTCTTCCCCTCCCTTCCACATCTCCTCAGACCACGGGGAGGCCATTCACGTGTTGCACTATGAAGCCTCCCAGGAGTACCTACCAGGCGCAATTTGACCCACAACCCGCCCGCCCCTCATGCGCTCCCCTATGCCCTCCCCTCCCTTTCACCCCACCAGACCACGGGGAGGCCATTCACGTGTTGCACTATGAAGCCTCCCAGGAGTACCTACCAGGCGCACTTTGACTCACAACCCACCTGCACCTTCTGTCTTCCCCTCCCTTCCACATCTCCTCAGACCACGGGGAGGCCATTCACGTGTTGCACTATGAGGCCTCCCAGGAGTACCAGGCGCACTTTGACTATTTCCACGATGATATCAATACGCGCAATGGGGGGCAAAGGCTTGCTACCGTTTTGATGTACCTGTGAGTGTAACGGGGGGGAGATGAGCTGTGACTGTAACGACAGGGATGTAGCGAAAGAGGGGGGTTAGAGGGCCCTCTCGGGAGGACCAGGCGCACTTTGACTATTTCCACAATGACATCAACACGCGCAATGGGGGGCAGCGACTTGCCACCGTTCTAATGTACCTGTGAGTGTAACGAATGGGAGGGATTCGGGGAGAGGGACGGGTTTAGAAGGCCCTCCCAGGAGTGCCAGACGCACAATCTGACTATTTTCACGATGACATCAACACACGCAATGGCTTTTGAGTCGACTGAAAAGTCAGTTTTGAGTCGACTAAAAAATTTCCACGATGACATCAACACATGCAATGGGGGACAGAGGCCTCCTACCATGCTCATGCACCCATGAGTGTGGCGAGGGAGGGGGGAGGGGGTGAGAAGGGGAGGGGGAAACTGTCTCGCTCCCTTCCTCCACACTCCCATCTCTCCTTCGTGCTCAGCCCACTTCCCTTCCATCTGCCTCCCTTTAAGTCCCCTTTCTTCCAATTCACCATCCCCGCCTCCCTTTCAATTTCCCTCCCTTTCAATTTCCCTCCCTTTCAATTTCCCTCCCTTTCAATTTCCCTCCCTTTCAATTTCCCTCCCTTTCAATTCCCTTCCAATCCAGTCCCCCTTCCCATTTCTTCCAATCCAGTCCCCCTTCCCATTTCTTCCAATCCAGTCCCCCTTCCCATTTCTTCCAATCCAGTCCCCCTTCCCATTTCTTCCATCCGCCTCCCTTCGAGTCCCCTTTCCTTCATGGACGGTTTTTCTAGCAGCAGAGCTCACCCCATCCAACATCCACTCACCTTTACCACCAGACTCACAGCATTATAGTGTGCGAGTGAATTGCTGACCCCTTTTCACTGCCCTCCCCTGCTCACCTCCCTCTCTCCAGCTCTGACGTGGAGGAAGGGGAGAGACGGCATTTCCAGCAGCAGTGCTCACCCGAGCCAACATCCACTCACCACCACCGCCGGACTCACTCACAGCTCTTTTAGTGCGCCAAGGCCATGCCATCCAACTCCGTCTCTCCTTCATTCCCTGCCATGCTTTCCCCTTTCTCTTTCCAGATCTGACGTGGAGGAAGGGGGAGAGACCGTGTTTCCAGCAGCAGAGCTCACCCCATCCAACATCCACTCACCGATACCACCAGACTCGCAGCTCTCCCAGTGCGCCAAGGGCATGCCATCCAACTCCATCTCTCCTTGCTGTTTAATCCTTCCCTCTTCCATCCCCTGCCATCTCTTCCTTTCTCGCTCCAGCTCTGATGTGGAGGAAGGCGGCGAAACAGTGTTCCCAGCAGCGGAGCTCATGCCAGACAACATCCACTCACCGATACCGCCGGACTCGCAGCTCTCCCAGTGTGCTAAAGGCATGCTGGCTGTGAAACCCAAGAGGGGCAATGCGCTGCTGTTCTGGAACCTGAAGCCAGACACAACCCTTGACCCAAAGAGCTTGCATGGTGAGTCGTGTGTTACTCCCCCCCCTTCCAGCCAACATACACACACACTCAGTTATCACCAGACTCGCAGCTCTCCCAGTGTGCTAAAGGCATGTTGGCAGTGAAGCCCAAGAGGGGCAACGCCCTGCTGTTTTGGAACCTCAAGCCCGACATCACACCCGACCCAAAGAGTTTACACGGTGAGTGTTAGCCTCCCCATTATACCCTCAACATTACTACCCCACTCGCTGAACCTCAAGCCCGACACAACCCTTGACCCGAAGAGTCTACATGGTGAGTTTCCCCCCTGTCCAGCCAACATACACACCATTACAGCCAGACTCGCAGCTCTCCTAGCGTGCCAAGGACACACACTGCTGTTCTGGAACCTCAAGCCCGATACAACCCTCGACCCCTAGAGTCTGCACAGCGAGTGTTACACCTTTGTCAGTCAGCACAGTATACACACAGCAGCACTGTTACCACGAGAATCGCACTGGCAGTGAAGCCCAAGCAGGGCAACGCCCTGCTGCTCTGGAACCTCAAGCCAGACACCACCCTTGACCCTAAGAGCCTTCAGGGTGAGGGTTACCCCCATTGGCCCTCCAACATACATGATGGATTTTTTTTTTTGTGTGTAGGCCAGGATACATGGTACGCCATGATTCGAGTGAGACTTGGATGTTTGTTCTTGGCATAATGTGTGCATTTGCATTGCTACCGTGCAAAAGTTTGATAATTAGGTCATTTTCTGTTTCCATGAGCGGCCCCTTCAAAAAATATACATCTTGTGTGTATTGCCGTTTTGTATGCCAACGTTATGGCAGCTGGATGCCCAGTTATTCGTGGAAACAAGTGGAGCGCTACCAAGTGGATTCGCGTACAACCTCGACATGGGCAATATTGATTTATACAGTGTATTGACGTGTGATCAGGAAAAGCACTGCCTTAGTGAGTCAGTCATTGTAAAAAGACTGACAACGTCAATGCAGCAAAAGGGTTACATATTTGATGATTGTGCGATTGGCCGTATAACGGATTGACACCTGAAATCTGTTCTTGGGAGTCACGAGAAATAGGCGTCTTTTTTTAGGCACCTCGAGAGTGCGCTGGCGTGTCCTCCCTTCAGAGTCATTCGGTACCTGGCAGCAGTCGCTGTCAAACCAGCGCTCGAAAAGTGCGCGTGGAGATCCGCGCGAAGTGCGCGTGCACGAATTTTAAAGTAATCATCTCGAGTCGCTATCACGCAAGAGACCCAAGACTGAGCCGTTTTTTTTAGTCGGTCAAAAAAGGAAGAGTCAGGCGCCTCGGAAATCACGCCAGACTCCGAAAGCACCTCGGGCTGCCACGTTAGAGCCCGAGCTCTTAAGGCGCTTCGCTTGCCCCAGATTCCGAAGGCCCCTCGGGGCTGGCATGGCGGGCGTCGGCGGGGCGTTCAGTGGGAGCCGGTCGCTGCAGCCGGTTCCTCCAGAGAAGGGCGTGTTCCCATTGGACCATTTCGGAGAATGCAAGCAGGTGCGTTGGGGCTGATGGTAGAAATATGAGTGTTCCCGTTAGACCCCTTCGAGTGCAAAGGGATGCAGCGCGGTTGACAGGAGTGGTAGGTTTTCTGAAATTTGGATGGCGCCAGAGGGTTTCTGGCATGGCGAGTGTTGGAGGAGCGTTTTGGGGGGGGGTAACGGGCGGTCGTTGCAGCCGGTTCTCCTGGAGAAGGGCGTGTTCCCATTGGACCACTTTGGAGAATGCAAAGAGGTGCGATGGGTGGGGCAAGATGGGAAATACTATGGGTGTTCCCGTCTTTGGATCTCTCCTGTTTGAGCTACTGAGTGATTCAGATCATGTACGAGAACATAGAGTGCCTGATGCATGCTGCAGGATGGAGTTAGCTGGTCTTCTGATTGTGTCGCTCCTTTGCTATGTGGCATGACTCGCTATTGAGTGATTCACAGGTGATGCGCGAGTACATGGAGTGTCTAAAGCAGCACGGCAACCAATCAGACAAGTGCCGGGACATCGCAAAGAAGTACTTGCAGTGCCGCATGGACAGGTGAGCTCCCATTCTTTCACCTTTTGTTGCTGCGTTTCAAAGCACTACAGAAGTTGATGGGGCGTAAGGACCTTTCTAGGTGGCAACCAGTCGGACAAGTGCCAAGGCCTGCTTGATATCCCTCCATCCTGTGGCCCGCGTTCTCTCAACAAGCACTGTGTTTGCATCCCTCCCCCGTGTTCCCCTTCCTCTCCCAATGCCGTGCCAGGAACCTCATGGCCCCTCAGAACCTGTCGGAGCTCGGATTTGGCTCAGCACCGTCCATGGGAGAAGCATCGACAGCAGGAAAAACAACTGCAGGTCAACAGAATGCTGAGGACCAAGCAGCCGGTGCTTCGGCTGATGGTCGGAGTATCACCATAAATAGACGAGAGGCCCGAGGGTTCATAGCGGGAATTAATCAAGAATAGTATTTTCCATAGGTAGTCAGCGCCTGGTTCTTATGGCCACAAAGGCAGCTAAGAGAGAACTGTTCCTAGTTATGTATAGTAGGCAAGTGCTCACCTGATGTTTTGGCTTAGGCAGGTGCTCGAACAGATGTCATATTGTGGCCATGTGTGTTCGGCTGTCAACATACCTGCGACTGTTGATAGCAACATGTCGCTACCATAAGTTACCCTGTTCCTTCCTGTACACGTCAGGTTCTCTCGCCTTCAATTACCAGCAAATACATTTCATTATACATTGATGAATCGATTTGCACAATGCACTAGCCAGCTACATCAGATGGCAAGCGTGCAGAATGCATTTACATTATGCGGCTCCAGTCATGGTTTCTGTATTTGCTTCAAGGCTTCAGATCTCCTGGTGTGGACACACCATCTGCTTACTTGTGCTGCCAAGGGCACACAAGAGGGATGTGAGACAGATGCATGGGAAACATCAGCTGAAAGTATCAGAGCACAAAGCATATGAGCATATTCATCAGAATGTGAGGGCACTAGGTATGCTGTGAAAAGCGACGGGAACAATGCAGAGGCATGGCAATCAGATCACCTCACCACATAAAAATGATCAACAACAGGAATTATATTGCAGCAGTGTACTTTGATGAAGCCAATGCTGTAGGAGTAGGTGCGAATGCACTGACATCTGAGGCTGTTGTGGTTTGCCCAAAATGCCAGCTTACGTAGTTTCGTAAAGCATAAGCCAAATGTACCTTGATGAAGCCGATGTCCTTTGGAGCACTGGCGGCAGCAGTTGAGACTTATATGGTTATCTTCATATGACTACTTTTGTAGTCTCGAAGTAAAATAAAGGAGCCATACGTACCTTAATTAATGGAGTCGGTGCAGCAGCACTGGTAGTAACAGTTGGGGCCAAAATGGTGACTCTAGTGTTCCAAACTGCTGTAGCCTTCCACACCACGTATTGCTATGATCATATTATGCAACACACCATCATTATTGTACCTTGATGAAGCCAATGTCCTTGGAGTAGGTGCGAAAGCACTGGCGGCAGCAGTTGAGGCCATACTTGCGGATCATGCCGTGGCAGTTACCGCACACCCGGCTGCCAACCAAGACAGCGAGTGAGAGGGGTACGGGATGGAAAGGATACATCAATAATAACCTCAAGGAGAGTTTCAGACACCTCAGAGGTAATTGAAGCATCATGCCGTGGCTATTACTTGAAGCATCGTTCCAATGAAGAGACATGTGGGAGGGAAATGGAGGGATGAACGATGAGGGACGGAAGGCGAGGGAGACGAGATGTTCGAGATGCAGCCTGCATCCCGAATTCGACATTTACCCAAGAGATTGACGATGCGCTTGTGAACGATTTCTGGAAATTCTAAAATATCCGGAATTCGGCATGGGGATTGATGATGCGCAACAGCCTACTACTAGACGATTGAGAAATGGGAGAGGGGTGTGCGACAGCCGAGAATGTTACTGCGACGAAGTTGCTAAAGAGAATAGTTCGCGTAGCGAGGTAGCTGTGTGCACCAGGGGGTGAAGCAAATGTCATTTCAGATCCGACCCGCCACTAAAGAGCTCCCGAGCCTGCTAAAGCGCGTATACGACGATCAGCGACAAATCAATGACAAGTAAAAACAACCGGATCTTTACACCACCTTCGAGGGCCAGAAAAGGTCGGCAGCAACCTCTTGGTACCCCTAACGGCAACCCCTGGAAAGTCGAGCGACCTCCACATGTACCTATCCTAACCGTAGAAATAACTCTTTCCTTAATGACCTTTGCACAACCAGCACAGAAACCAGGCTCACAACGAGCAAGATCCACGTGTACTCATCCTACCCTAACTGTAGCCCACAGAGGGGGGTAACCGGGTAACCTCCACAGGTATCTAACCCTGTAACCAACACTGTAACCCTAACTGAACAGAGACGCGCGCCGCCGGGAGTGCTTCTTCGGGTGCGAGATCTCAAGCCTAACGGTAAACCACCATCCCCTGCAACATCTTACAGCCTTTTACCGCAGGCAGCTTGCACGTGTATTCATCTAGCAATAAGACCACCTACGAATATAACAGCACTGTAACCAGCATTGTAACGCTGACTTGCCAGAGGCGGGCGCCAGGGGAGTGCTTCTTCGGGTGCGAGGCAACAATCCCGTCGAACTTTCACCCAAACGAACAATAAAGGTACTCTTCACTACCAGAGGAGCGCGCCTTCTTTGGGTGCGAGTTCCAGACCCTAACGGTAAACCAACACTCCCCCCTCCCCTTTCCCTGTAACCACCTGTAGAGGCGGCGCCACTCCCTGAAACACTGGCTTACCAGAGGCGTGCGCCGGGGGAGTGCTTCTTCGGGTGAGAGTTCCAGACCGTCTCGTGACCCATGGTGGCTCGCGGGAATCGACGGTGCTGCTGCACAGAGCACAACAATCCGACGGCACATATGCAACGACGCGACGTGAGACAACTCCTACTTGAATGCGCAACACGGATGGCGTGACACGTAGCGGCTCGCTACTAATTAGCAGTGTCACGTTGAGGCATAATGGACGAACAGGCAGGAACGATCCGATCAACGCCTAAAACCTGAGCGACTCTTCGTAAAAAGACTAAGCCATACTTCAGGACGAACCGCTAGAGCCGCGTAACGACCTTAGTGGACGCGGATCGCGTAATAAACGAACCTTAGGGAGGCAGGGAGAGGCGAGAGCGAGCGTGAGCGGAGAATGCGCGAGCTGAGAGGAAGGAAGAATGGAGGCGAGTTAGGGTTTTCAGTGGCAGGGGAGGTGGTGGACCAGGAGAAACACACATGAGCGAAAACGCTTCGTGTATTCAGCAAGCGTTTTAACATAATGGTATTAGGGTGTACCTCCATGATGCTGTTTTTTGCCCTGTACAAAATGCTCCTCTGATGCTTTATGGAGTATGGCGATGATTGATGATTCACTTTGCGCTGGAAGGACTTTCTGGGATTCGCGTTGTCAGCTGGTCTGGGGGGAGCGAAAAGTAAACACATATTTCGGCGTCTTCTCTACCTTCAAATGAAGGACTTTCTGTCACCATGCTTTGTGTCACAGCTTCTCCATATCGAGGACTCGGGTTTGTGCATGAACGATTTACACGATGCTCTCCACCCACCGACCCTAGTCTGCACAAAACGGAATTCATGAACCATCCTCCTTATAGGACGCGAAGCGCGTGGTTCAATGAATACCCTACATATTCATATTCTTCACGTGCCACGGTTCTGTATGGTGCGTCACGGTTTAGTGCAGGTGAGGTTTGCAACCGTAGAATACCGCGTAAAGGCTATTGCAACCGCACTGAATGATAATGATCAGTACACACACTGAGGAAGCACAAAATTGACGAGCATCTTGTTTGAAAAAGCACCAGCCAAGCAGATTTTATAAAATTAGTCGCTACAGCAACATAGCTGACGCATGCGTTATCTCGAGTTTGCATAAGGCCTTCCGAGGCGGCACGCAGGCCTGCTCGAGCGATGAGTGCCGTGCAAGCGTCCGCTCTCAGAACGACATTCGTGACGCCTCTACCCTCCTCCTCAGCGTCATACCGTAATCGGGTAACCCTATGTCGCACAGCCACATCACCGTTTCTGCAATCGGAGCCGCGACGCATCGCGCGGCAAACGCAATGCCGCGCGAATCGCGGCAGAGATATCCCGGACACGGATTGGATGACGAGGACCGACCCGTGGGAGCTGCTAGGCGTCGCGGAAGGGTCCTCCGTCGATGAGATTAAAGCAGCCTTTCGCGCCAAGGCAGGTGATGTGACACGTGGCGTATTGCTGTTGGCGACGAGGTGCCGAGACGATGTATTCGTTCGTTGCTGTCGAACTTGCATCCGTTTACGATTAATATCCGTTTTTTCGAATGGCATTCGTACTCACCAGCATGTCAGGCATTCTTTTCTCAACTGCCATTTCTTTAACGACTAAAAATGAACGGCATCCGTACTCCTCCTCTCCATTCTCAACCGTCAGATCAAGAACGTCCATCCCGACGTGTACCGAGGGGAGTTAGACGCTGAGGCGATCACAACCCGCCTCGTGCTCGCCTATGACCCGCACCCTCACGCCCTCCCTCCCTCACACCCTCGCACCCTCACACCCTCCCTCCCTCACACCCTCGCGCCCTCACACCCTCCCTCCCTCCCTCTCTCCCTCCCACCCTCCACTCGTGCTCGCATACGAGGTGAGCCGCTCCCTTCCCTCCCACTCTCCACTCGTGCTCGCATATGAGGTGCACCGTTCCCACTCCCACCCTCCCACCCTCCCACCCTTTCACCGTCCCCACCTTCTGCGTCCACTCTCCACTGCTCTTATTCTTCCCCTTGCACGTTCTCCTCTTTCTCCTCCTCCCTCCTCGCTCCGCCTTCCATTCTCCCACCCCGCCCGTCGCCCCCACACCCCCCCTCTCATGCTCTCGTGTTGTATTCCCCGCTTCCTCCTGCACATGCTCCTTTTTAAGTCGACTCAAATCACCCCACAGCCCCCCTCTCATGTTCTCATTCTGTATTTCCCCGTTCCTCTTGCGCATGCTCAATCCCCCCAGTTGCTTCTAGAGGAGGTGGAGAATCCCACGGGAGGCAGAAGGTGAGCTGGTAACGAGGTGACCTTAGAGCCGACTCAGTCGTTTCTTGCAGTTGCTTCTAGAGCAGATAAAAAACCCTGCGGGAGGCTCCGAGGCAGAAAGTGAGATAACATGCATGGATGTGCCAGAGCTCATGTGTGTATGTATGTACACATGCGTGCACGTGCTTGCATGTGTGCGTGCCCATAACCATGTGGGTTGATGTGCAAGTGTGCGACTGTGAAAACCAAAACAATGCTTGTGTGTGTGTCTGCCTATACGCATGTGCTGCCTGTGCGACCCTGTGCGTGCAGATGGAGGAGAGAGGAAGAGGAAGAGGAAGAGGAAGAGGAAGAGGAAGAGGAGGGGGATCTCTGGCCCTGGGTCAACGAAATTCGTTGCCTTGGTCAATGTGAGTCAACGCCAGCTTATCAAGCTCCATCTCTGCTCCTCACTACCTGCTCTCGTCTCGAAGTGAAACGAGGGTCGCGGTCTGAGATGATGGAATCTGGAACCCCGTGCAGTCGGACTACGTTATCTACGAACAACGTCGCCGTTTCCTCTGCTGTGACCTTGCCGTGCGTGGGAATGAAATGCGCTGCTCGAGAAAACTTGTCCACTACGACGAAGATGGCGTCGTGACCCCTAATTATGCGCGCTGCTCTTTTGCCTCTCCTCAGTTTCCCCCTCGCTAAAGCCTGCCGCTACAGCTGCTCAGTACGCCTGTTCCCTCCATCACAGCCTGTCATGACAGCTGCACTGTAGTTGCTCTCCTTTGAACTCTCACCACTTTGCCCATTCCCCTCCCTTCCCTCCCCCACTGCTACAACCTGCCTCTCCAGCTGCACTTTGCAAGAAATATTTTTTTCCGTTTGCTTGTTCTCACCCCTCGACCCCTACAGCCTGTCACTACAGCTCCACTGTTGCTGGCTTCGTTTCCTAGTCTCACACACTCCTTCTCCCCCCTTCCCCCCACTCCCCCTTTTTCCCCCTTATGCTACAGCCTGTCGCTCCAGCTGCATAGTGACAGCGCCCTTCCTCTTCTCCTATGCGGAGGACACAGCCAGGGCCCGTGCCATGTCCCCTGATGCCTTCCAAGGTAAATGTTGCTGGTGGGTGCTACAGCCGGTAAGCGCTACAGCCCCTGTCGCTACAGCCTGTCGCTCCAGCTGCATAGTGACAGCGCCCTTCCTCTTCTCCTATGCGGAGGACACTGCAAGGGCCCGTGCCATGTCCCCTGACGCATTCCAAGGTGCGTGGTGTGGTAGGCGCGACGGCCTGTTTCTGCTACAGCCTGTGGCATTTCTTGCATGTTAGTCAATAGCATTTGCCAGGGCCCGTGCTGTGTCCCCTAAAACAGCATTCCAAGGTAGGTGCTGGTATGCATTACTGGGTGCATTGCATGCTGTCCGATATCACAGCATTGCAATGAAATCTGAGAGCATGGTTTCCGGAAAGTGCTTCCCAGGGTTTGTCTCCCTTAGAATGCGTGGCAATGTTAAGAGTTCCCTAAACCATCTCATTGTAAGTGTACACTGTTCTGAGCACAGCCAAAATATGTTTCAGGTTCTGCTATGTGATGTGTCACTAATATGCTCTTTGGCTGTATTCACTTGATGTTGATACTGCCTCTGTTTATAATCACATTGCTACTGTGCAGGGTGGACAGTGGGAGGGGAGACTAAGGACAGGGCTCGTTACTGTGTCAACCTGGCTGTGGGACAATGCCCAGAGCTTTGTATACACTATGTAACGTCTGCACAACATGCTGAACTAACTGAGAAGCTTCAAGGGTATGTGCTGTTTGTGGTAATTGGGATGTTGCTTTTATTTTCTTCTTTTGCTCTTCCTCGCATCATCCAAGCCACTTGTTGATCCTTTTGTGCCCTTTTTTTATGTTGTCCTCCTTTTTACAAAGATTGTTGTGCCCACCCGCTTATCCAATGTGCAGGATTGTGGATGGGATGGTACCCTTGCAAGAAGGTGCTTTTGACATTCAGGCATACATAGCAAAGGCCACGTATGATAACAATCGTAGACCACGGCCAAAGCGAAGGCCTAAAGCAGAAGGCGAATATGTGGACTGGTACTAGAAAGTTGGTCGTGTTTCAATTACTGGTCGTGTAATCTATGTCAATTCTGCATTGGAGTTTTAACTGTATGATCGGCGCAATCTGATCCAATCTGTCAAATGGATATGTCCGTAACGCTCAACCTCCTGCGATGCGACGCCGCAATTTGACGTCACTTTCAGCTCATTCCTCCAATCATCCTTGCACAATTGTGCATGGAAGCATCCTCACCACACCACCACCAACCTCGGTGGAGATTTACTCCGGCTGCTACCCTCCGTCAAAACAATTTATTCGGGATAAAATTTGCTGATTTCTAGAAGGGTCCCTGATTCCTTGTATGGCCCATCACATTTTTCTTCATTTTTGCTCGCACATTTAGCAGCCCACACAAACCTCGAAGGGACATGTGATTTCCCATGTAAGTTCCGCCCTGGTGAGTTTCCTTGTGAGTAATGAATTCTGTGACCTGACCAAACGAGGTGAGGTGAATTGCCTTTCCCATTTGAAAATTACTTAGAGCCTTGACATTTTCGAGATTCGGTCACTGATGAGCCATCAGTTTCCAACCCACGTGGCAGATCTAACGTCTGCCACTGAGGCAGCACGACGCTCGGCGTTCCCGAAAATTTGGGAACTCCAATGCTGGTTCTCTACGTCGATCATATGTGAAGTAGTTGGAATGAGCACCAGCATGTCCATCACGCCGGAGAGGAAACTCAGAAGCTGGTTTTGTTGAGATGAGATTCAACTGACTGTAGGCAATGTAGGGACGTCTTTAGAAATCCCACTATTTTGCTCCTTTTCTCGAAATAACACAGTCAGCATTGTTGTTTGGCGTTATCAGGCGGACACTCGTTGATACTCTGATCTTGCTTGGATTTCTAGGCCTCAGATTAACATGTCCCGTTGCCATTGCCAGTCTCTGATTGATTTCGTTTTTGCCGCATTCTCCAGCAGCAAACCCTACAATTTCCGCATTGCATTCCGTCGGCTGATTGTGTGAATTCGTCTCACTTGAAGCCTTCCACGCTGGACTCGTTAACGCCGGTCTCGTTAAGAAGCTGGCTGCTGCTAAGTGGGGGAGAGCAGCGTCAGACCCTTGATCACTGACATCCGCGATACTGACACTACCGATTCGCTGAAACCAGTGCGATTAACGAGACTTACGAGCAGTGCGACGTCCAACACTGACACCAGTGAGCCACTGGCTGACACCCTAAGCTAATAACGCTGACTGACACTCATAAGTCACAGGCACATGCGTTGCGCTGGAGTGAAGGCAAACCCGGCAGCGTGTTCGGCATTTCCGACCTCCTCATTCCCGAGACATCGAGCCGTCGACGTATTGCCGGATCCGATGTTTCTGCTGTGCGCTTTTTGACACCGCGCTATAAGCAGCTGCGATCCAAGCAAATGCGTTACTAGCAACTCGCTACCAGTAACTCACTGCTAGCATTTTGCGCTATTACCAACGCATACCATTTGACTTACAGCTGAACGTCACTCGCCAGCCCGTCATCTGATCCCTAACTTCACACTTAGACTCGTTAAGCAGCGGCTTATAACGGATCCGCCATGGCTGGAAGTATCGTGAACATTCCTGGTATCACCAGCAACGGCAGCACGGCCGCGCTATTCCACCTCATCCTCCCCCAGCGATACGTGATTGTGCTGCTAACGCTGGTCTGCTCCGCCGTGTGCTATATCGAACGCGTGGGGTTCTCTATCGCGTACACGGCGATCGCGATCCGCGAGGGGGTGGATCAAGCGACCAAAGGATGGGTCATGTCGGCCTTCTACTACGGATACGCGTCGTCCCAGGTACGCCGCACCCTCTACCCTCTTCCATAAGTCGCCCTTTCTACCTTCTTTCATAAGGCTCCCTCTCTACCCTGGTTTGAAGGGAGTGGATCAAGCGACCAAGGGATGGGTCATGTCGGCATTCTACTACGGATACGCATCGTCGCAAGTAAGGCGCCCTCACTATTTCTGAGAAAATTGGAAAAACAACTCGTGACAGGCAAGCCCTCCAGCTTCCCTAAGTCGCAAAATGCTTAAACAACAACTCAGAGATTCAGTGCAGGTGCAGCCTCACGTACTCGTTTGTAGCCTGCTCCGCTGCTTGCTATTGCCATCTGATATTCTCCGTCCTCTCCTCTCCTCCTCCCTTCTCTCTCAGGTCCCTGGCAGCTGGGCATCTCAAAAGTATGGCGGCTGGCTCGTCCTTACATGCTCGTTAGTAGCTTGCTCCGCTGCTCCCTATTGCTAATCAATTTTCCCCGTCCTATCCTCCTCCCTCCCCCCTCCACTCTCCCTCCCAGGTTCCAGGCAGCTGGGCGTCTCAAACGCACGGCGGCAGGCTCTTTCGTAGCCTGTCCCGCTGCTCCCTATTCCCATTTAATCTTCCCCGTCCTATCCGCCTCCCCCACCCTCCTCTCTCTCACTCCCAGGTCCCAGGCAGTTGGGCTTCTCAAAAGTATGGCGGCAGGCGGGTCCTCACATACTCGTTTGTAGCCTGGTCCGTTTTATGCGTTCTCACGCCCACCGAGTCACCCCCTGACAGCACTGGCAGCGGCCCCAATACAGTCACACTCGTTATAATCCGCCTGCTAGTAGGCATCGCCCAGGGATTCATATTCCCCGCTATTCACACCGTCTTGGCTCAATGGACGCCCCCTCACGAGAAATCCCGCGCAGTGAGTCTGTCTATGTCGGGGATGTACCTAGGAGCAGGCATAGCCATGCAGATACTCCCCGGATTAGTAGCTTCTAGAGGGCCCGAGTCGGTGTTCCAATTAGTAGCAGCCATGGGCGTCGCGTGGACTATTTTATGGGTTAAATATGCGACGGATCCGCCTGGCGGGGCGACAGCGTTCGCGCATGTGCCTGTGGGGGGCGGCATGGGGGGGCATAAGGGGAGTGAAGCGGAGTTGCTTCCGCTTGTGAATGGGGAGGGGGAACGGGGGAGAGTAGGCGGAACAGGGTTGGAATCAGAAGTGGTGCATAGAATAGGGGGAGGCGGAGGCGGAGGGGGGGGCGCGGGGGGGGACAATGGGGGGAATGGCGGAGTGGGGGGAGGCGGGAAGGGAGGGGGACTAACATCAAGCACAATCTCCGCGTTAGGGCTAGGGGCAAAAGGGGGAAGCGAGGATGAGGAGGAGGATGAGGAGGAGGAGGAGGAGCAGCAGCGGCTAAAGAGACTCGGTCAAGGCTTCGCCTCAGTCCCCAAACACCTCAAAACATCATACAAACCGTCGTTAATTAAAGACCCTCCTATTCCCTGGATACCTATCCTTACCAGCGCACCCGTGTGGGCCATAGTAGCTAATAACTTCACCTTCCACTACGCCCTATACGTCCTTATGAACTGGCTCCCTACATACTTCCACCAGGCTTTAAACACCAGCCTGCACAACGTAGGGTCCGGGAAAGCCATGCCTTATTACATAATGACGCTTTTTTCCAACATAGGAGGTGTACTGGCCGATCACTTAATCGCGAAACGGTACCTGACTGTAGGGGGGACAAGAAAGGTCCTCAACACTATCGGATTCTTCGCGTCAGCAGTCGCCCTAGCCCTCACTCCCGTCCTAAAATCCGTCAACGGGGCGGTCCTCTGCTCGTCTCTCACCCTAGGCGCCTGTGCAATCGCCCGGGCGGGATTTGCAGTTAACCACATGGATATAGCGCCTAGATTCGCAGGAGTGGTGATGGGTGTGTCGAATACAGCAGGGACTATGGCAGGCGTGGTAGGGGTGGCAGCTTCTGGGCTGATTCTTGAGGCGTTTTCGGGTGGAGAGGGGTCGGGAGGAGTGGGGAACGGTGGAGTGGGAGGAGTAAGTGGTGTGGGAGGAGCAGGAGGAGGAAGGGGAGTAGGGGGGATTGATCCGGGGTGGTGGTGGGTGTTTTTCACGCCAGCGTCCCTGTGTGTGGTCAGTGCTTTGATCTTTGACGCGTTTGCCACGGGGGAGCGGGTCTTTGAGTGACGTGCCTGGCAGGCCAGCAGCAGTGCGATTGACCATGAGGAAGGAAGGACGGGGAGGCAGGGGGGGGGGGGGGGAGGGAAATGAGCCGGAGTGACCATGTGTGACCAGCTTTCACGCCAGCATCTCTGTGTGTGGTCGGTGCTTTGATCTTTGACGTGTTTGCCATGGGAAAGAGGGTCTTTGAGTGAAGTGACTTGGACACGTGAGTTGACTCACAGGGGACGTTCCTGGAAAGCCAGTGGGCAGGTGAAGGAGGTTTGGGAATTGGGAATGAGTGACCACAGAGGGGGGTGAATTGGGGCGGTTGCGGAGGTCTTGAATGGTGGCTGGCTGCTTGAGAGTTGAGTCTGAAGGGGGTGCTGGCTGATGGGCTTTTGAGATTTCTCAAAAACCAGTGAGAATTCTCAAAAAGCTGATGAGCTTTTGAGATTTCTTGGGTGCTGAGTTGATGAAGATAGGTAGCTGAGGCCGAGGCCAGAGGGATTGATGCCTGAGGCAAGGGGGGGCTTTACTGCTCTTTTCACTCATATGGATCCTCGCAGCCGCCGCCAAACAGCCAATGCTGTCTGAGTCAATCCGTTTTGAACAATGAGAGGTGGCGGTTGAGATGGTGCATGGGTGCCGAGTCTGTGGCCATAGCACCATGTGAGATTCGGCTGACTCGAGATGGTGTGGAGGGTGGAAAGGATGATGGTGGTGTTTTGGGGAGTGGCACTGTCAGCAACAGCGGTGGTGGCGGCAGCATCAACATCAGCATCAGCAGCAGCAGCTGCAGCGGCGGCGGTGGCGGAAGCGGTGGCGGCGGCAACACCGCTGCATCAGCACCAGCATCAGCACCAGCACCAGCACCAGCAGCACCAGCACCACCACCAGCAGTACCAGCATCAGCACCAGCAGCAGCAGCAGCAGGTGACGAAGCAGCGCAGCAAAGAGTTGGAGCTCGGGAAAAAAATGAAGAAGGCTTCTGCTGACTCCGCAGCAGGAAATCACAGCGGCTGGCAGAAGCTTCACCCTGTGCGTGCCATGATGATCTCAGTCGTGCCGGAGCCACTTTTAAAATATTGCAAACTTCATGTCATGTTTAAGATATCGCATAACGCTAGGTCTTTCGTTATCAGGGTAAAATACCCTTTTTGCACTGACTGGCGGCCGCTTTTATTGAGTTACCCTTTCCCAGACAGGGTATTAGGATTTTTACCCTAGGCCAGAAAGTGTAGTTTTTTCCCCCCCTTTGTAAAACAGTGTGATGGATTTTTTACCCCGAGTGTTCAGGGTACGGTTTCAGTTACGCTGATACTGAGTTTCTCGGAACCGAGGATATCCGACTATGAACACGTTGCGTAAAGGACAGCAGGACCAACACCCACATAAGATGACATCAACCACAGGTGCAGTCCCGAGGACTTTTCCCGCGACGTGCCGCGTAACCACCACATTGGTGGAAGTGGCAGCCATGCTGACAACGCATCATGTGTTTCGTGCTGTCCAGGGCACATCATGGCAGGCAAGAGGAAGCACCGTGAGCCACGCACGAGCCGCGCTCCGGGGTCTTCCAAGCCATCACAGGTGGTGGTGGGGCTTTGTGTGCTCCCAAGGACACCCCATCTTGTTCCTCCTACTCATTCTTACCGTGAGGGAACACCATCGAGGTTCCAGCCCATGCCTCAGTCATGCCTGCCGAGCATTCTCAAGAACCGCCTGCTGTAGTGCGCAATGGCCTATCTGTGCTGGGTGTTCTTCCCCGCCTGCCTGAGTCCTACAGCGTGCCGATTTCACCACTGCCACGTCCCGCTTCTCCAGTGCGCAGTGTAGGCACCGTCTTCCCGTTCGAGCTGCCATCCACGTCGGCTGACTGGGAGCCGCACCCATCAGTCGTTCTTGTGCCTGGCGGTGGGGAAGGGTCGTCCAGGCCACCGGCGGATTCACCGTCTACTGTGAACAGCACGCCGGTCAAACGCCCGCGGGTCGCTGTGAAGTACAAGCAGCAGCGCCTCAGGGGAGCTCCTCCTCCTGGGAGGGTTGCCTCTCCGCAACGTGATGCTGATCCTGAAGATGAAGCGCCGCCAAAAACAACCGGTGATGTTATGTATGACACGATAAAGCATCGCTATGAGTCTGAGTGGCGGAATAAATTTAAGTGGTTACGTCTCATTCGATTGCCTAACGGTCTTGCCAAGTTGAAGTGCGACATCTGCGTGCAGCATGGAGACCCCACCGCTCACACTAGCTACGGTGCGAAGGGCGAGGGTGGGCGCGACCTCCAGATTGGTAGCGTCCGGGCCCATTCCGCGACGATAGCCCACAAGAACGCGTTGAAAGCCCAAGCAGAAGCGGAAGCGGACAAGGCGAAACAAGTGAGCATCACCCGCTGGCAGGCAACCGACGCGTCGACGAGGCACATCATTCGCGTTCTGCACATCGCTGTCTTCGTCTGCAAGGCGGATGCGCCAATCGCGATGTTCATCCCGCTCTGCTGGTCCTTGGCGAAGGAAGGTCTTCCCGACCTCCCCAACAGTGGTGGTTACGGCGCCTACTACACAAAGTAAGCCCGTGTTTGTTAGAAGTGTGGCTCGCGTTGTGCGCCAATCGCGTTCTCACGGCTGTGTTTTGTTCATGTGGTCTGCAGATACGGCTTCAGAGAAAACCTCAGGGCAATCTCAGCTTACCTCCAGGAAGTGCAGCGGTTGCATCTACTGGAGTCGCCCTGGATTGGTCTTTCCCTCGACGAAAGCAGTGATCGCGTCAACGGGAAACACCTCATCCTCTACGCCACTTTTTTCCGAGGGACCGCAGTGGTGACCGAGTTTTTGACGCTGATAACTGTTGACCGTGCTGACGCCGCGTCTTTGACTTCTGCTGTGGTGCAGTACCTGACAGGGATTGGACTGGATCTTCAGAAGATGTCGTCCGTATCTACGGACGGTGCGAATGTCATGATGGGGAAGCACACTGGTGTTGTCGCCCGTCTACGCATGCGGATTCCTCATCTTGCCTCAACGCACTGCGTCGCACATCGGTAGGTTCTTACCTGACGTAAAGCTAGTAATGTTCGTTTCTGTTATCCACCATCGTTCTCACGCTGCTTCATTGTTTACACTTGCAGGGAGGCTCTGGCTGTAAAAAATGCCGCGGAAGCAGTTCCCGAACTCTTTATGGTGGACAGTGTCGTCCGTGGCTTTGCTGACCTCATCGGCCGTTCCAACGTGAAGTACGACAAGTTTCACAACATCCAGCAAGTGTTCTGCAAGACCAACCTCGAGGCTCAAGGCATTCATGAAGTTCGATGGCTGTCACGCGGAGAAGCAGTTAGACGCCTCCTCGAAATCCTACCTGCGGTCATTGTGGTGCTGAAGGAATACAACGCCGATCTGTACGAGGTTGCCACTTCATTCAAATTCCACCGGATGCTTCGCCTGCTTGCTGATGTGCTTTGGGAGCTGAATTTCCTGAATCAACGGTTCCAGCAAAGGCAGGTACGGTTGGCACATACCCGTTCTGTTGTGTTCCTTATCCAACGTGTTTCGATTATACATGTCGCTTACCGTGTCACTTGTTTTCACTCTGCAGATCGACATCACTCTGGTGGCGCACCTGGTGCAGCAGACACGATGGCGCCTGAAGAACCGTTATTTGAACGGTTCCCCATCTCAGCACTTCGGCAGCGGGGAAAAGATGACCCTCAACGACTTCATTCAGCGCCACCAGAAGATGGACAAGCGGGAGGTGAAGGCTGAGGGCGTAGACAGTGATGGCAACCCCGTGACCTTCGAGTACGAGCTGCACGAGAGGAAAATCAAAGGGCACGAGACGGCCGGTGACGTTGAGGCGTGCTACGAGCTGTCGTTGAAGTTCGTGCGTGAAATCGATAAGGAGCTGGAGTGGCGCATGAGGGACTTGGCGCATCTGGAGGGGTCAAAGCTGTTTCGCTCAGCATCGTACGTCTCAGACGATACAAAGCGTGTGGAGACCTTCAAAAAGTGGCTGGCTCAACTGCACAAACTGTTCAACAACAAACTGCCAGGTATGTATGTGTTCGGTTTGTGTGCGAGCGTGGTTGTTGGGTACCTGAACGCATGCGCGTTGATGTATAGTATCTTCGTGCACTCATGCCTGCGCCTTGTTGATTGTTTGGTTTAAGATTTCCCCTCCCTCCCGCCTGCTGCAAGTATACCCTGCGTAATTCCCACTCCCGATCATCAGGATTTGACTACACCAGGGCACAGAGCGAGCTGTGGATGTTCACGTCTACCATGTTTTCACAGAACAACGACGAGGACTTCCACCAGGCGCTGTGGAACATGCTTCGGGACGACGCATGGCAGCACTCCTTCCCCAACCTGATGCGGATGTGGCAGGCTGTTGCCGTGCTACCACTCAGCACGGTGGAGTGCGAGAGGGGATTTAGCAAGCAGAATCTGATCAAGTCGTGGGAGCGTGGCGCCCTCTCTGACACCACCCTCGAGCATCTGATGAGATGCTCTCTGCTCCAGTACGACGTGGACTGGTACGAGGTGGTGTCGATTTTCAGGGGAGAGAAGCTGCGGCGGTCAACAAAGGACTTCAGTGGCACCAACCCAGGAGAGGCTCTTTTTGCTGATGACAACGAGGGATCTTCTGACCCTGTTACTTGAGGACTAGGGAAACCCAATGGTAGTTCTGTTAGCCTGGTATTTCACCATGTGTAGCTTTAGTGCCATGCTGATTGATTGTACTAGTTAGGAAGACTGAAATCATAGTATCTGCAACTTTATGCTGCTAAATTCAGTGTAGAGACATTTTCATACTGACTGATTCAGTGTATTGGATTTTTTACGCTGCAGAATACAGGGATTTTTTTTTTTTACCCTAGCCATCAGGGTTCACTTAACCTCGTACCCTGATCACCCAGGGTCGGCCAAAACCAATCTGAAGGCCTGCTACACATCTCCAACACTGTCGGGTGCCCGTCTTTTTCCGTTACTGGTATGGGTCCTTCAACGCTCCATCTTTGATGCTCCTCC